TCACTGAGACTGATGTACGAAGATGTCTCCAGTCGCTTAATTCATTTCGATGTTTGGGACCTGATAGTATCCCAAACATCCTTTTTAAAGTGTGCTGACGTCCTATGTTATCCGTTCACAGCTATCTGTAACAGATCCTTCTCATCTAATCTCATACCGAAAATGTGGAGAAAGATGAAGATAATTCCTGTACCCAAGAAAGCATCTGGTGATAAGAATGTAAAATTTAGACCTATTGCAATAACTTCACCCTTCCTCAAAACAATGGAAAAATTATTAATACTTCCACTTTAGCCTGGGATAAAAGAGCATATTGATCCATATCAGTTTGCTTACAGACGCAAAAGAAGCACTTTATATGCCGTTACTGTTCTGCATCACAACCTAGTGTTCAACTTAGAAAAGGGTCAGAAGTATGTTCGATGTGCTTTTCTGGACTATACTTCAGCTTTTTATTCTATACCAAGACATTTATTTAACAAGTTAATCAGCGTCAACACTGACAGCTGGATAGCCAACTGTCTATGTTCCTACCTCTGTGGAAGGGAACAGTACACTGTGTTTAGAGGAAAGTGTTCAGAGTCTCTGCTGCCTCATGAACTGTACCACAAGGAGCTGTTCTTTCACCTCTTCTTTTCTCTATTTTTCTGCACGATCTGCCATCTTCCACAGAAATATGCGGATGATCTCACTGTATGTATGCCTATCTCTTCCACTTTACATCCCATAGGAATGAATGAGTTTTTGTCTCGTATTGATTGTTGGTCTGTTGGTCATGATGTCATACTTAATCCGTCTAAATGTCAAGCTGTTAACTTTAGCATGAGACATGAACGGAATCTAAACACCATTTTGAGATCCCATAATGCTTGTACCATCGGAGACTCTTTGATAAACACAGTGTCGAAGGTCAATTATCTTGGTGTCACCTTTTCCTCTGATCTCTCTTGGTCTTCCCACGTTTTATTGTTATCGAAGAAAGTTTTCCGTCTAGCTTACTAAATAAAGAGATTGCATGCTCTTGGGATTACTCGTCATTTACTCTTACAATTTGTCAACTCTTGCATATTACCTATCATTCTTTACTGTTCTCCATTATTCTTTCCCGGGCTTTTGAGGAAAGACTTTGCTGTATTGTGGAGAGTGTTGAAGGCAGTTGGCAAGATGTGTGGTGAATCTTTCGAGGTCATAAATAATATGGTTGTGGATAGACATTTAAAATCATGCAAACTCCTGGCAGGTGTTATTTTATCAGATACTAGCCATCCCCTTCACTCTTATCTTTCTCCTTGTATATCTTCTGGTAGAACGAGACGTAATTACATTAAAACCCATGCACGCAAGCAAAAGTATAAAATTTCTATAATACCTTACCTAACAAATATACTCTGTGACGAACAGGTTGTTAGAGTTAACCTAGTCAATAACTTGCATTCTTAACATGTCCTTAATTTTAAAAGTTGTACAGTTTTTCGGTTTTTCTTTTGGGTTTCCTACCAATTATCTCTTACTTCCTATTGTCTAAAAACCACTTCATTACATTGTACTGTGAATGCATCATTTTAATCAAAACATCGTGTTAGACATTTACCCTTATTACTAAGAAATAATAATACACTGATTATAATTCAAACTAATGGGTATTGATTATTATTCGTCCATCAAGATTTCAAAAAACTATTACCGTTACTACGTAGAACAATAATAGATAGTCACAGCTCAGTCAAATAATGAAAGGTAAAATACAGTAACAAATAACTCAAATGGAAGTTTGTAACTGTTCAAATGGTGAAATTAAACATTCAATAGTGATAATAAAATGGTTAGTTATGAAAAATCAACAGTGAGCTTAGATTGACAACCCGAAAAACAATTAATGTTGCAAAATCTGAAATATATTCACAGTAAATAATCAACTATTAAATTTGAAAATCCAATAAATATTATAAGATCACCACGAAAATTGGTGAAAAAGTTAACACGTGTTACAGTAGACCTTACGTTTCCACAAGTCGTTCTCATTCAAAGTGTTCAAACACGCAAAAGTTTTCTCTTCATATATGAGTGTTATTGGTAAATTTTCAATGCTTGTATAACATCATTTGATAAATGAAGTAAACGATATGTCAATCACTTTGAAATACATCTCACAATTCGATTATCAAAAGTGATTTTATGAAGTCATTACACTGATTAATTTGATCAAGATGAAAACTTTTAAGAAAGAAACACTCATTTTCTCAAATCAAAACTTGTTATATATGATCTCTTTCCTTTAGTTAATTGATTAGTCATTGACTTTAAGTAAATACTGATGATAAATACATAAAACATATCAAATAGAAATGGAACCAACGTTGATCTCATAGCAATGCACTATTTAAATATTTAGTGGTTTTAATTGGATCTCAATCATGATGTGCGTCATAAGGCGCTGATTCAGATAGACTGTAACCAAATACCAATATGTACATTTTAAAAGATATACTCTCTGTTCAAATGCTGTGCTTAGACTTTTAATTTCGCCAGTTGAATAACCAGCAAATCCAAATATATTACTAATTACATTTTCCTTAGCATAAGGACTTCAGTTATTTTTATTCGGCGATTTAAATGTAAGGACATTTGGTTACTTAAATATCTTAAATAGCCTATGTAGTTAGTAAGTAAAATACATGAATAATTGCATTTTATAAGAAAGTATTAAGGAAATACTTTGTCCTTGAAAAAACAATATTTATTGGCTGTTCTCTTGTTTTAATTAGTTTCACTTTTGTGAAAATTCACTTCTTTTTTAGTAATAATAATAATAATAAAGAGAAATTTCTCTTTAACTCCTGCTATCTACGTGTACATAGTTGTATCAATGCGACAGTTACGTTTTAATGCTTCTGTTGAACAGTATTTTTAATTTTCACAAATTTCAATTTCTCATTTAATTCTCCTAGTTGTTAAGTGATTAGTCGGCAAATTGAACTGAATGTATTTTGATTAGATTGAACATAAGGATGAGATATTTATTTTCGTCACGCAAAAGTAACATATGTAATTGTTTTCTATAGTGACGAGGCACATCTACTTGATTTCATTCACTCACGTTTTTTTTAAAAATAGAAGACAAAATAAAGAATCAGGAATTTCTAAAGACTATCACTTATAATTTTGTTGTGATCCACTGACTAAAATAAGCAATATCGTTAAAACATCAACAAAAATTATCCAATAGCAAATTACTTCATTTCACTTATTAAACAACTATCTATTAATATCAGAAGGGGATTTTGTGGATATTATAGTAATTTCAGTAGCTGAGATCATGAGTCAATTGAAGCTAGACCACCATGGAAAACCTGGAAGCACTGGACGGCCGTTTCGTCTTATTGCGAGTCTGTTGTCAGATAGTAACTCACTGATGACAATGATGGACGTGTTGCTTGATTTCGTGGATTGGTTGAAGTTATACATTAACACCGTTGGATGCCGGTTCAGTGGCCTAGTGGTTAAGCGCTCGCGTGCGAGGCTAATGGGGCTTAAGTTCGGGTCTCGCGAGGCGGCATCGTGGCTGGGCACTGCTGATTAGTCCGACAGTGGGACGAAACGGCCGCGCAGTGCTTCCAGGTTTACCACAGTGGTCTAGCTTCAATTGACTCAGAATCGCAACTATTGACATTATTTATCAATTAAGATATTTAGATTTAATGAAAGTTTTATTAGGTAGTTTTCAATGAAATGTGAAGTTAGGATTAATTATTACTGTATAGGTATCAAAATGAATTTAAAAATAGATTTCCACCCTTTTATTGTTCTAATTTGGCCTAGTCTTTCAGAAGTAGAAAACGATATAAGAAGGTTGAACAAATCCAGATTTAAAAAATGTTATAAAATAGCACAGTAGGTAACATCAGGCTTATTTATGCATGCAACCTACCAATTTAACTGCTGAAAAGCATGTTAAGAGTAGAAGTACGTGATAATTTTCGATATTAAGTGCTATTAAAATATCAACTTGGTAAATTCGTATGTTTATTCAGCAGATTTTCTGAACAATCCTGAATATTCACTAGTCATTAACATAGAGGTTTAATGCTGTTCGAGACTTTTGAAAAAAACAAACATCCAATTAATATTTTTCACTACATCTTCCTCACTGTTCAGCTGTTAGAAAGTGTCTGCAAATATTGTGTTTTAATTATTATAAGTAGTAGTGACATTAAGGTATACAACTTGATATTCATTCTGTAATGTAATTAATAGAAAGTATAATGTTTCGTGATACATTCTATGTTGTATAAAGAACAATTTAAATGTAGCGTCTGTGTCAGAAACTAAAAACAAACGTCCCACTAATCATTTGTCAGGTAATTAAAGATCAATTAATTATCAATATACGTAAACTGTTAATTAAAGTTAGCAAGTTTTTTTTTCTAATGCTTAACATAAGATGCTTATTCAAGCAAACATTACCACTTATATCGTGAAGTACTGTAATGTTACCTAAGTGAAAAGAATCTTTATGAGTTGAGAATACATTAAGTGGCATTTCTACGGACACTTATTTCATTTATAAACAGATTTCATATACTCCAATTTTTTTATTTTCAGAGAAAACTAACAAAGTATTCAATGAAGACTTGATGTGTGGGCGAGAATGATTGGTTGTCTGTTTAGTCAGATATGTAGATAGTCTGACAAGTGTCAGATGAGTTATATATTCCCTTATCGTTATTACTATGACTCACTCATTACTGACTGTTCATTGTTGTGGAATTGTGCCGGTTTTTGGTGTGGAAATATATTTACGTTGTGGTCAGGATAATCACGTGTTCTTGATCTGAGTAGTGTTGAAGTCCTGTAGAATAGACACTAGGAGGGAATCTAGTGTAGATATTCGTCTAAGATAAATTAACGTCCTATACGTGTAAACGTGTAAACCCAACCATTATAACGTTAGACGAAGTAAAACCGAGCGTTATAACAAGATCATTTGTAATTATTATGTCATGTTATTGAACTCTTTACAAGATTACTAATAAGATTTTTGAGCAAGTTTTGTTTTGTTTTTTTTTAAAAAAGGAACTTCATTATCACAGAGCAAATAAAAATGGACGAAAGTCCTGAGAGGATAATGAGAATTCAGGTAAAATCATAAAAAGTCTATTACATCATCATTTGCCTTTTGATGCTCTTGCAATCGAACTCTATTCTCAATATCATTGGTCTGTTGTTTTGTCTAAAAATACAACATGAAAATATGTTGTAAATAAGCAATTATAAATTTACAAATAAGTTACTAGGCTGAAAACGTTTATGTCAAGCACAATCTATGGTGATTCAATTTCAATGGATTTAACTGGCAAATATATTCATATGTTGAGACTACAAACCATGGAGTTCACTTTGAACATTTTGAGTTGACAGTGAACTTCGACACTTAATATTCCATCTGAAGAGTAATCCTTTTTGATTCTTTCGTATCCACACTCATCATAACTTTAGGATATCCAGGTAACAATTAAGTGAAAATAACATTCGTCAATGGAACTGTTCAATATCGTCCCTATAACTTCAAATCACAAAAATACTACGATTTTGGCCAATTGAGTAAAATCACATGAATTTATATCACTCATTTTTCGTTAAGGATGATTTCAAAGCTTGGATAAAGTGAATTTTGTTTATATGTGAAAATTATATTTGAAATAATATCAGCGATTGAAATTCAACTAATTCCAACGTTTCGTCCAGCAAACTTGTCTCGACTTCTTCAGGGTAATAATCGAAATCAAAATCATCAAAGAAATATATAGCATTTCAACAATTAAATCTATACTTTGTTAATCTGATAGTATTTGGATGCTGACTTTAGTAAATAGAATAACATGAGTTAGTTAAATGTGAATCATGTGAAAAGTCTACAGTGTGAAGATAACTGACTGAATGAATTATGAGTGTGTATGTGTAAGATTGAGTTATTAATAGTTGATATTAGGTGTTAAATTTGTTTTGATATGAAGAAGAAATAAAAGTGCAAGTTGAAGAAGTCCAGACAAATTTACATGACGAAACGTTGGAATTATTTTAAATTCCAATCGCTGAAATTATTTAAAATATAATTTTCACCTATAATGACTTCTCCATATTCGGTGTCCAACTTTTATCAAACTATTCGTCCTAATATTGACGAATATTTGTATGAATTATGTTTACTTTATATTTGAAGTTAACCGATGCACTGTACAATGTTTTTAAAACTATTTTCCTCATTAATATGAGCCTTAACCTTGCAAATTGAAAGGAAATTAACAACCAATCGTCTATTAAATGCACTTTGTTACCAAATTGATGGCATAATACTTCGCTTAAATCAACATGCTCAAGGGACTTAAGGTTGCTATTTTTTAAGAGGCTAGAATCTTCCAGATTCCATGACAAAAATAACTGTAAACATTTACTGTGAAATAACTGTGAAACTCTGTATTATGGAGGAGGTCTTTAAGAATTTAATGTAACAACATTTCCGAATATCGAAAGTCATGAGTAAAGTCCTGATCGATAGATGAACTCAATGATATGTTTTCGAATGGTAGTTGCTCACTAGACAGTATTATCAAATCAAATCTCTAAATGATTAGAAATCAAAGACAAGACCACAGGCCAGATTAATAGGTTTCTTGTATAAAAAATGGCGTGCTTATATACGAACTAAATATGATCAAATGTCCTAGGTGATTGAAAGAAAGTTAATTTGTAGGTCACATTCCCTGAAACCAATTAAGATTTGATCGTTAAGCTTAATTATTTCGTAAGGATATGAAATGATTGTCCAACAAGTATTGTGAAAACAATCTCTATTTGTCCGACGCTTGCGATTCTTAATAAGAAAACAAATATCCAGTAAAAACGTTAATTTCACCAATAAACTTCCAGGAGTCTGAAGTACATCTTTGCAACTGAATTTATTCCATTTAGATTATTTGACTCTAAAAACCTAGTATATCTCTATAGCTGTAAAAATGTAATGTGTGATTACGCTTAAATTAGGATTTTTTCGTTAATCGATATTAACCGCGAAGTTATTGAAGAGCAAAAACCCATAGACTCCTTAAGATATTTGTGTCATACAATTCATGCAAAATCAAAATCAAAACTCATTGGTTAAACGTTAACCTGAAATGATTGTGTCACTTTTGCTATCATTCCATGAAAGCGTATTTCTTTTTTTCAGATGCTTTTTTCAAAATTTACACCCCAGACTCTGTAGCACTTTATGTTTTAGAACACCAAGTATAACGTTTCTACATATTTGTACAGTATGTATTTGAACGCCTAACTAACTATAGAAATATACCAAGATTGGAATTTTTAATACGAATCGGGACAGCTGATACTTACAAGAAGTGGATTATCAAAGTTGCTTTGACCATTGAACCTATATCGTTCTTGAATGCGTTTCATTTCAGACTGGTTCTCTTCATTTCTGTGATTAAAAGCATTCTCATCATCTTCATAATGGTCTTTCGTAGATAAAACGTTCTTTACTTGTTTTACAATATCCTTTTCTGAGATTTTCATTTTAGCAACCACTCCACTATTTTCTAACTTTTCATCATTTGTGTTCTCATTCCTTATTTTTCTTCCATAAAAGAAAAAATAATAGAGAGAAAAATGACATCCAGAAAGACATCTAATATCACCTAAATAGGTTGTTTTTACCACTCACTGAGTGAAAGATGTCAACTCAAGGTGATGAAACCTATTTTAGTTGCTTTTAGTAAAAATCCTCACTGACTGACTGACTGACTTACTAACATGTTAGTCTAAAACCGCAAAGAACCGGTTAGAACCTCCAAGTCAAAAAACCTAACTAGACGAAAATGGCGTATAAAAGAATAAGAATGTTTGTCTAAAATTTAGGAAATTAGCTAGTGAGTATTTGAAGCTCCATCGACTATTGAATGGTAAACAAAGTATCCATGTGTTGCGATAATGAACACTTCTAACCAAAACTCATAAAAGTTCTTCGTGTTTATTATAACCACCCTTACTTCTTCATAAATGTTGCAATTGATGATGTACAATATAGTTTATAAAAAACTCCAAAATCTGGAAAAAAAGTTGGCTATATCACTGCATTTAATAGAGTCTACATATACAACTGACCCACATGACCCAAGAATCCTACAAAAATGTTTTGTTTTGTACAAAGAGAGATTGACAGTTAAAGCCCTATACATATCGGTAAACCCAAAAGATATACAATTAGCAGTGTCATGGCAACTAGTAATTGATAGGTAAATCTGAATTTCATGTTTATCCTTTTCATTCATTTCATTTTACGCAGACAACAAAGAAATGCTTTCGTTTGTTCTCATCAATTTATTTGTATATATATATACCATGAACAACTATCTTCTTTAACACAACCCCAACTCACATTATTTTGTTTATTTATCCTCATTTTATGCACGCTGTTACATGTTCGGTTAATAACATCTATCAAATTGTGTAGTTTAATCAGAAATCCTAACCAGAGGTGGTATGTGGTTATTGAGTACCTCATATCAAATCTATATATACCTGTTATGTTACCTCAATTTCTCCACTTTTTTACACTAAATTACTCATACTCACTAAAACAAATCTCACAATCAGTATTGTTATCATGATTTGAAGATTTCTTCAGTATACAGTTAAACTCTGAACGATCTACTTACATTTGATAATTTTAATGGTTGATTACTTTCTTTGAAAAAGCTTAAACCGAAATGCCGAGCAAACTGTTAGATTTATTTTAAGTTCAGTCGTCGAGATTTTTACAAATACAATTTTCTCTTTAACGTACATAATACATTTCAATCAAACTAGTGGATGTTTTTCCAAAACATACTATAATACTAACTGTATTCTCACATAGGAAGGTTAAATTATACGTTTTGACAAAAGAGAATATCAAAAACTAGAAAACTCAAATAAACTCAGTTTAATACTCAAAGTTACTATAGTTTTTCATCTACACTTAGTATTATTCCGGTTCAGTTAACGATTATTTCGAATAAATAAAAATAATATATTTGTAATATCCCAATGAGTAGAAAATTGGATTTTTCTGACGTTTCGTGGCTTAGTGTAAGTCACTTCTTCAGAGAATAAATAACCAAATTAAATTAATCCAAGTTTAATTTAATTTGGTTATTTATTCTCTGAAGAAGTGACTTACACTAAGCCACGAAACGTCAGAAAAATCCAATTTTCTACTCACTGAGATATTACAAATATATTATTTTTATTTATAACAATCAACCCAATGCTCAATTTATTCGAAATTATCAAATCAAACCTTGGTAATGACACCTACAGATTATTTCGAATGTCATAATTCAATGAAATATAGCATATTTTCTTTTCAGTGCTACACACTTACCATATACCACGTCATAACAACATATACACAATAATGCACATACCAATATATGTAGTATGTCTAAAAACAGTGCCTGAACGCTGTGATAGTATGCCTAATAATTCAATAGATCACCCAGCTTTTTGATTGTGATGTTTTAATATCATTAGAAGGCTTTAGTTAAGTAAATGAAGATTTAATCTAACCAGTGGCATTAATCAACTATGTTGATATAACAGAGATCTTCTATCAAGCACTTTCAGTGTAGTAGTAAATTGAAGTATCTGATATTTATTCACATAACTTGACTACTGAAAAGAATTAGTAAGTAGCTTCAAACTCTCTTAATCTAAAATCAAGGAGTCATGTATAAGCTTCTCCTATAAATTAAGGTAAAATGTAAAATTCAAACATTTTGAATCATTTCAAAAACCGGAAATAATCATACATTTCTGTTTGACACTCATTTTCCCGCACGGCTTTTCTTTGATATTTTTGAATTTCAGCTTCCTGTTCTATTATTTTCTTTCTGATTAGATTTAAGAAAGATTACAGCATGATTCTTATTAGGCTCCTTGTCAAATATCTACCAATCAAAAAGCTACTTACAGTTAAAGAGTAGATAAGATTAGTTTCTGTCTATAAGTTGTACTAAAAATCATACATTTAATTTATCTGTAATCTGTTTAACATTTTTGAACAGGTTGTTATATCGTAACTTAATTTACTACATCTGATACATCAAATTTTTGGTTCAATTTACTTATTTAGTTCACACAGTTTTAAGATATCAGTTTATAAAGTCTGTAGCCAACGTCTTTTTAAGCGGCACACATCCTCAACTTGACACAACATATTAACTGTGTTGTTATATGATAAATTAGACGAATCTATTGTATACACCACTACCATCTGTTGTGCAGAGTGTAAACTTACAAAGAGATTAATTTGATTAAATAGGAAGTTATCAATTGATGAGCTGAGAGTTTAGTATAAAAGTATTCTGATCTTATGAAAAACTGTAGAATTTTATTTAAATCATCAAGTAAAACGTTCCGATTATGATTTTTTTCCTTTTAATTAGTAAACTACTTTATTTACAATAATTAACAAGTATCTGAGTGACCAGATTGATCTAAATGTATAGCGCAAATACATCACGTTTTTCAGATCAACTCCGTCTTCTCCTTGTTCTATCGAAATTTATAAAAGAGACTAATTGCTTCAACAGAAGATTATTTTTCACTTACTAAACATAAATAGTAAAATAAAGCAGCTATTGAAAATCATGTTCATTTATATTCTCAATCTCTTTAGCAGTGAGCCGTAATGACCCATTATATAGGATTTTAACCATTTTGCATGATTAGCTTTTTAGAGCGGTTTCACAAAATAGAATTATTGTAGTTCTTACATATCAATGATTATAATTCAATAATCATTTAGGATAAACAGTATAATATTGGTTACTATTCAGTGACCGATTATCATAAATATCTCGATCCTATAGGCAGTCATTTTAAGACCAAATAAATCATAAATAATGTTACCTTAAAATATTAGTTCAAACCTCAAGCGATGTGTTTGCGCCATAATGATAAATCCTAACTAGCACTAAATTTAGATCAGTGGCTTTTCATTAATTTCCTTAAACTATCTAACATCAGTTCTTATACACACAAAATATAAAATAGTGGACAACTCACTCCATTATTTCATAATCTTTCTTCATTTTTTCACATGATTCTGATAATGTTTTGTTTAAATGTTGTAAATTAGCAATTTGTGCCTTAGCCGACCCTAATTCACTTACCATGTTCTCATCTCTTTGAACAATTGTTGATACTTTTGGAGCTTGATTAGTAACATTGTGGGATACTAAAAAAAATAAATAATTGGACAGTTTAAAATAGCCCAAAATACGTTTGTTCACCTTATTACAATTTTTTACCATACCTAAAGCTGAGACTTTTAAATTAATCCACTAAAAGCTTGTAGATTAAATTTAATAATGATAGACTTGAAATATTAGTCAGAAATAGAGAATTTTCTCCACTACTATTCTACAACCATCTAGAGCATCAATACTCAGTACAATTTTATAAAGAGATGGTAATGACTCCTTCATACCAGAGAAGTTACGTGAATCAAACTACTTAAAATAAAAAGGTCTCACTTGTTTATTTTGAAATGATCTCTGGTTTCAATTTCATTCTCTGTCTACATATACTGCATTATATTATTGTTAACAATAGATCATAAAGTGAAAGAAATTATTGGGGGTTTAATAATGTCTAATCCTGCCTTTGTGCTTATCTTCAACTGCAATTTTCACTGAAACACGGAAACACATACGATGAATCCTAATATCCATTACATGGACCTTTCATTTATCTTCGTTTTATTTATACCAAAGTGTACAGCTAGGAGGGAAAGTGGTTAACAAGTAGAAGTGAATCTTGCGTGTTACTAAGATGGTTACAATGGTTTGTGATCAGTTCCATCATATGTCGACCTGTTAAACAACGAACATTATTTATCTAACAGACATAACTGAACTATCACTCTTCTAAACTATGTGGAACTAATGTCATTTAAATGATCCCAGTTTATTCTCTAAGTATCCGATAGATGGAAATCAATAAAGACGAAGCTTTTAACAAATAAACTATCCACAAATCTTTAGGCAATACTGACAATCTCTAAAACGTTTTTCTTATTACGTCAGCATGGTAGATAAAAGTATTTTGTCCTTACCCGTAAAGCCAATCCGATATAAAAACCACTGCTCATTCCAAACTTATGATTTATCAACGAAAAATTCTAGACTTGTTAAATCTCATCCACAGTTAGTGGATATTGAAGAGTATCCCTAAAGTACTCTATTCTATCAAAAACATGCACTTTGTTAAATATAAACAGTCAAATACACATATTTAAAAACTATGAGAACATCTCTAAAATTTCGATTTCAAAAATTATTGCATTCTATAACTACACTTCGTTAGATTCTCGAAAGTTACTCTAATTAATGCATGCCATTTAACCTCAGAATAATGCAACTTGACACTATACTAACTAAGAAGCTATCATTCACAATCTCTCCAAAGTTTTAAACAATTACAGGATCCTCACATACTGTGGTTCCTAAACTTTATTTTATAAACAGGTGTTAAGGAAACTCCTAAAGCTAACAATCAAACTATTACAAAGAAAACTAAAAAGATTCAAGGAAAATAAGCTTACCAGTACTTCCAACAATTGTGGCCACCAAAAGATCCTCTGAGGACGTTCTAAACTTTCCAGTCTTTCAATAAAAAATTAAGGTTAGTAAAAGCCTGACACACCTGCACATTACACTCATCATCCTGACAAGCACGATAAGGAGCTAAAAAGTGGAATTTAAAGAAAATCAAAAATCAAATATTACTGATCATATCTTTCAATAAATTCATCTGATCATTAAGTGGACATGCCAGATAGTCTGCACTTATTTGAGATCCATTGATAGATCATTTGTCTGATTTCAACATATTATGTTCAGTGCCTAAACTAAGCACATCACGATGTTGTGTCCTTAAACTTAATGATCATATAGGATTCCTTGACTGGTGTATCCTAATCAACACTCAAGACTTAGAAATGACTTCCATAGCTATTCTGTGGATATATATATTATAGCGAAACTAATATGTAGTGAAATTGGTTACATTATAGTTTAAAGCAATTAGTCCCTTTGATAGATTTCTATAGTGCAATAATAAGAAGATGAAGATTATCAGAACTATGTGATATATTAGCGCAATACATTCCGAACAATCTGATCACCCATACAGTTGTTAAGATCATTTATATATAAAAATAAAAGGTCAACTAGTCACAATTGATTGATCACTGGGTGGTGATCAATGTCATGTGTGTCAAGTGAAGCTGGGTGACACGGGATCGAATCCGCCAGGGAGCACCAGTTCCCTCAAGATTACAGGTATACCTTGCTGACGAGTGCCAAGTAGCACGAAAACCGGGTCCAGGGTTTCCTGTCGACTACCAACCACCATCTAATCTCAAAATGTCAACTAGACTAGAAATGGAGGGCGAGAAGAGACAAGGATAATAAGTGATGTGATAACATTTTGAAACCTCATCACTCTGGATAATAAGCTGATATTACCAGGGTAAGTTTAAGGTGAGAACAAACTGTTTTTAAATACACGGAGGGGGTTTGAATTTTCGTATGGCTAAGGCTTCAATAAACCTATTACAGTTTTATACAACACCACAAAAGCTGAGTTAAGATCAATCTTATGACCTGCTTCAATTAGGTGTTTCTAGTCTAGTTGACCTTTTATTTTTATATATAAATGTTCCCAACAAATATATGGGTGATCGGATTGTTCGAAATGTATTGCGCTAGTATATCACACAGTTATGATAATCTTCGTTTTCTCATTACATTATAGTTGTAACAGGTTATATAGGCTATTCTTGTTTTTAAGAAACTCATTTTACGAATTTCCATTTAATCTCTATTTATTAGTAATAATTTTAGTGAAGGTTGAGTTTCCATAGGTCTCGCCCTTTACTGATCCTAACTAGACAACCAGTGAAAACCAAGAACCACTGAACAACTGGCCAGTGGAGACTGACCATGTTAGATGTTAGACAATTGTTCACCGTTGACAATGAAAGATGGCTACTCAATGTCACAAACTGATTGAAATCAGGCATGTAAATCATGGCATAATTGCCCAACTATTTAGAGGTTAGGCGCTCACACGAGAGATTGAAGGTCCTGGGTTAAAAGCGGGGCACTGATGATTTCCATAATAGAGCGAAACAGCTGTCCAGTGCTTACTGGTTTTCACTGATTGTCTAAAGTCGTAGAGTAATTTCTAGTTGTTGGAAAATAAAAATGTAGTTGGTCTTTCCGAGAATTTAGAGCCTTTTAAAATTTACATTCGTGCAGTAAATATGAACTTTGCTTTACATGCTTATCATTGTTAGTTAACGAAACAACCCATAAAATAGGATCCAGATAATTACGGATAAAAGTTTATCTCAGTCAGCAAGGACATAAAAGGTAAATATCAAGAGAATTAAGCAATCTGTATTAATTGCTTTACTACTGGTACTCGGAATAAGTCTTAGGTGTTTTCACTAAACCATGTAACTAGGAGCATCAATACACTAAGCATTATTAATATTAATCTTGAATCCAGGTCTCATACCTGCCAATAGCTGCCACTAAGAATGGTAGCCTTCAACTTCTGTGCTTGATTTTTCAGGTTTAAATAACTATACTAGCTTCTCGGAGCTTACAGATACTTGCTTCTTAACAGCCAAAAATAATTTTTTCAGTGTTTCTATGGCCCCCTGAAATCAACTGACATCAAAAATGAAATTCCGAACTCACTGAAAAGACTTACTGATATCCTCTTTTACATCGTTCGATGACAAATGCTTGTAAAGCTTTTGAATTTTGTTTACTAAACAATGGTTCTTTGCTATCAACTCCTGTTTCTGCTGATCTAAATCTTTAATCACTCTGCCCAGTGTTTTAATTTGAAAATTAGATTGATTGTTTTCACTGGAAAAACTCCTTTTCGGTTTAATAATCGATTGTCTTTTTTTCTCTGAACACTGATCGGATAATATATGATTTTGTTCTTTTAGTCGCTTAATTTCTGCAAATGCAGTCTCCAACTGTACTCGCAACTCTTCAACCCGAGTAAATTTCATGTCTGTTATTAAGCGGCTTTAAAAAATTAAAGTGAGGATTATAGTATGAATAATAACTAAGCCCATAAATGTCAGTAAAAAGAATTTTAATTAACAACTTGGAAGTTAATCTTAACCAACCATTTTAAAACTCTGATCATAACGTAATTACAGTTAACAGATAAGCTTAACGAGTTATGATCTCATACATTAATGAAATTACTCATCATCTTACGTCCAATGGCTAAGTCTCTTCGTGGTTCATTGTTTCAACAAGGTTACCATAATTAATAAGCATCCCATTTTGTGTTAAACGTCTTACTTATTGTTGGGGAGATCCAGAAAACCCCTCAAGAAAAGCCAAGAAAGGATCTGAAAACACTGAGAGGCATCTTATCCAATCAGCGTTCACTAGAGGTTTTGCCGGAAACATCTAGAAGTTGGAAAGTTACATTTCGAGTTTGTGATTGGATGATTAACACACTGCTACTATGTTTAGTAGCATTCTAGAATTTTCGGGAAAATCCAAGGACATCTAAAATACTATAAAAACCCTAAATTTTCTGTACATAAATGAACCTTCGGAGTAAAGTGTTTCTTGCATATTTTGCGCCCTTTCTCTCGTGTTCAAGTCTCTATGTAGTTCTAGCTTGAGGACTGCTAGAAAAGCTTGGGGACCGAATATAGCATTCAATTGGAAAGACTTATCACTTATAACAAGCGCTTTATAAAAATAAGTTGCATAAAGTTACAAATGAATCCGACTTATAACTTACTAGTAATTAATATCTTGAAGTAATTACTGATAAAAACAATACTTGTCATATCTTGCGTGAATATTGTGATGCAAGTAAACCTAAATGACAAGCATCAAATATCACGAAACTTATGCTCTAGTTCTATTACCAACTACTAATACAGATATAATTACTCTTTCATAGAATGGAAACATTCAAGCCTCTTATATGCACATCACTTAGTAGCTTTTGTAGACATATTTCACTAAAACAAGATCAGTCATACAAATCAATTTTTAGTGTTCCCAAGTTCTAGTTGATTATGTCAATTAATTTGAGCTGGAAGATTATGTCAACTTCATGGACTAAAATACGTCTTCAGTTATCAGTCATTATCTCTTTCGTTTACGAGTTTTAGAATGTGAATCAATGTCAGTAAATATGACTGTTAAAGGCTGTTATAAATTCTAAGCTAAATTAATTAACAGTTACGTTTCTAAAATTAAACGTCTTTTTTCAGCATACTACTTATTTTACTCTGCGAGTAATATTTGTTAATTTAGCCAATACAGACTATATTAGCCAAAGATACATAGAAGCCGAAGTTACATCGGACAGTTTATTTATTATACCGTCCTAAACATCAGGAGATCAAATCCTCAAGTGTGAAGGCATCAACCACTGAACCTTGAAAGGGTAAATCGCCCAACAAAATGACCAGCAGGTGATGCTGGAGCTTTCTATCGTTGTGAAATTTTAAACCAGGAAAAAACAAGTATCCCATGTTCCTTATTTTTCATCACTCTTAAAAGGAGTTAGTTGTGTCCATTTTCAAGCACATCACTTTTCCATATCTGAATGAATTGAATGGGCACTAAGTATATTTCGAAGTGTAACTCCTCCCTTTCATAGTTTTCGCATCCACTTGAGCTAGAAAATTACGAACATTCAAAATTAAACAAGATTTAATTCATGTTTGCATAGTGTCATCTTACTTGTACTGAGAATCTTTATCTTGAAGTTGGGTCTGCAGTTTGAAAAACTTTTGATGAAGCAAACGAATATTTTTAAGTGATTTCTGTTTGTAGCAGCCTGCATTCTGGTTTATTTTTGAGCTCTATTGACATCGAAATTTTAAGGTATAACATTTCCTTACTTCAATAGGATTGACCAGCATTGTAAGTTCATTCTCTGTTTTAACCAGATTTTCTTTTAAAATGCGGCATTGTGCGTTTAGATCTTTATTTTGTTTAGTAAGTAAGGCTACTTTCTGTAATGAAAAACAAAGTTTTCTCCTAAAATGTTAATAAATCGACACCTAATCCAAAAAAAATTTTACTAGATGTTTTAGTGTGATTCTGTTCAACCAACGATAATAAGAATAAATGGTAGACCACTATAAACTAATGATGATTGTAAGATGCCAAGTTTAGTAATTCATTCAAATGATTTCCTTTCAGTAATCAGAGTAGAATACAACGCAGTTCAAAAATTCAAGTTAACAAGAAAATTTATGGTTCTTCAGATGACTTATGAATTTTGATAGTTGAATTCATGCGTCGATGAAAGCTAAACCACTATGGAAAACCTGGAAGCACTGGATGGATGTTTCGTTCTGGTATGGGACTCCTCAGTTGTGTGCATCGATGACCCCGCATGCAGAGCTCGAACCCAGGGCCTTCGGTGTTGAGGACAAAAACAACCATTTCTTTGAATAGTTGATGAATATACGTTTTGGCAAAAATATTCTCTCATGTAAAACTGAAAACGTTCATTACCAAAATTCATATTCATCCATCAACCAACAGCATGATCTTTCTATTTAACTTTCCAGATAACTAAATAGCGTTGGCAAGACTATAATTTATGGACGAACCAATTAGGGATAAGATAACAGGTTTCGGATTTTGGTGCGAAATTCATGCATCCAGTTGGCGAAATAGAGTTTTGGCATTATAGCTGATATCAGTTCGTGAGCAGAACTCTGAATCTATTTCCTAACCTTAACCACCAAATGCAAATCATAATACTATTTCCTCATGTCAGTTTATAACCGTCATTTGGTCCTGGTTATTAGAAGGACACTCTCAAGGTCACTTCAGCGTTGCCATAAATTATAGTCAGTTCTGTTGGGGTCCGCGCGACAACTGAGATCGGAGATTGAAGGCGTTGGATGATATGACTCAGGATCGGTCATTAACGTGGATACACTCACTGTTTATTGTCTTCCACCAGAATTCGAGTTCCTTTATTCCTTCGCAAATCCCTCTCCGGTTTGTCCTTCCCAGCAATATTCTTAATGTTCGGTTTTATCAAAATCGTTACTGCTAAGTTATTTCAATTAATCCACTATTCAGCCTTTTAAATAGTTGTAATCGCTTGGATACTGTAATGATAAGATGAAATTCAATCAAGCTGTGCGATATATTAGTCCAATAACTTTTGAACAGTCTGATTATACATATACATCTTAACAACATTCCGATCTAAAAATAAGAGATCAACTAGACGACTAGAAGGTAAGTGGAAACAAGAATAATAAGGAAAACATGTGAGGATACCATACTGAATAATACTTGCCTGATAACAGGGAACGTTTAAGGTAACAAAAAACTGTTTTCAAATACATGAAGGAAGTTTGAATTTTTGTATGCCACTAGTGTACACTAAATAACTTTCGTACAAAATAAGAGGCTGATTTAAGATCAATATTATTAGCTGTTCTATGTACTTATCAAATAAGAAAGGTGATATTTGTCATCTTGTCTCAACAAGCCATTTGATTTTACTCACCTCTGCAGCTATTTTGATACATATTCAGACACCCTGTCTGCTCTTGTGAATGTGGTATGACAACTTCAGTCAACATAAACATATTCCAGGCCCTAATTTCACCTTGAATGACTTATCTGTAATTTTTAATTCTACATTTTGTCAATAAAGAGACTATTTTACCATCCAAATAGTATTGGACGTTTGTCTTCTACTTACCTTACTCTACAAACACTTATATCCTTCAATAAAACGCTATCAGCTTAAAATAATACAAAGTTTTTGTGAGAAACTTAGCCAATATTAATATCTTCTTTAAAATAGCTAGCTTGTTCGATAAATTTCAACACTAATGTTCTTCAGCTAACCATGTCCACTAAAGATTTAAAAGATAAACCCTTTCGTTTAACTCATCCCATGCCCATATAATAATTTAAGTGTTTATGTGGAGCAAGGTATGCAGGTTTTGTGATGCATATTTTACCCATAAGAATTAAAGAACACTACCCCGCTGGACTAAAGAAAGACAAAAATGGCTCAACCGGAAGTGCTATAATCAAACAGCTTGAAAAACGTGTCATTCGATCAAAAATGACTCAAAGCTCAAAGACATCTACAAGTTGAGTAGAAAGTTGTCAAAAGCAGTTGTCCTCTGTCTTTTGAACACTGCCGAAGCATTTTTATTCATTTAGAAAAATCAGAATAATGTGCACAAAATAAGGTTTTATAGCCTCTGCATTGACCGTTGTTCTAATCTCTCGTAGGTTTTTCTTTCCTTCATTCAGAGCCACTTGCTTCCCTTCTATTTCCTTCTCGATGAACCTTTAAGCCCCCCGAATGCTTTGTTTTTGTTTGTACGATCTTCCTGAATACAGTCTTCTCAATCTAAACATCTTATCTCATAACGCTGAGTATCTCTTTTCAAGTTATAACTCTTTATCTATCCTCATGATGAATAATCAAACTCTCAATAACAAAATTATTATAAGTTCCCTTAATGAAAATAACAATTTTATTCCTTTATTTATTTTATATCACTGTCACCATGTTTAGGAAAATATCCACCATCACTATTATTGTTATTATAACCATTTAGAAAATAGTTATGTGTTTGAGATTGCATTTTGAGATCGAAATCTCCGCAAAGAGAACTTTAGGCTGAACAAATTTTTCTACTGTTATGTCTCATTGGATGCATTTTGCTTGGTTGTAAACGAATTAGAAAAATTAACAAAATGTACAAGGAATGAGAAATGTTGACACAACATAACGCAACTTCATCACACATTTCTGAAGAAACGAGCGAGAAGACAATTTGAATTGATCTATGTGACTCACATCTGACAGATGCTTTCAGTTTCTGAACGTAAATCAGGTGATAAGGATTTTTCGGCTACTGGTTTGACGATTCTTGTAATTAAGAAGCCTTATTTATCTGCTAAGCCGACGAATTTTCAGTGCTGAATGTTATTTAAAGCATGGGGATAACTTTGTTTTATGCTTCGGGAATTTTACTGTGAGCTGACGATTTTAGTTAACTGAACTCAGTTAAGTAGGATAGAAAATAGCTTAAGGTGATCAAATAAATTAGTTTAGCTTCGTCCAAAATAAAATATTTTCACATTTGCTGTGCGTCGTTTTACATGTGTAAAGATTTTGAAAACATGGGGAACTAAATTGTATGATACATGTTGGTTGTTTCAATAAAAGTATTTTATCAAGACTCATAGTTATTAAAGTTTTCTCTTACTTCTCTGAGGATAAGAATCTCATCCAAACAATCATCGTTACACTTGGATATCTGACGATTTGTACTTTTAGCAAAAACTCCATTTGTGTTACGCATAGCTGAATTTCTTATGTAACGCTTATCAGGTGAATTTATCTGTTTTTTCAAAAAACTTTCGGAGATTTTATTTGAAAGTTCGCTGTTTCCCTCTTCATTGACTGATTTTGACAAATTGTAAGCGGATGATCGGCGTAAAAGATTTCTGTCCATCTATTCCAGAGATCTGTTTCATCAACACATATTCAAGTATTTGTGGTACGCGGTGTTCTCCTGGTACATAGTGAAGTGAAGGACATCAAAGTACTGTATTCAACATCCAATCCATTTTGCTTCAACATATTCGACGATTGTTTTTAACCACTTAATGTAAATCAACTTTAACTCTATCGCCGCAAAATGATGTCATGGAGCGAAAGTCTGCGGAGGTATTTGGAAATAATGAGGACACACAAAGCTACTCAGAAAAAATAAGTTCAAATGGTCCATATGGTTGTGGACGGAATAGAAGAAGCTTTCGCTTAACAGGCTTCCGTGTCTAGTAGCTGGAGATCACTAAATCCTCCAGGCAGAAACCTAGGTTTGTTAACAATAAAAGAGGAAAAGAACTTAGTAAATCATAGTGTGATACTAACCTTAGTCCTTAAGAATAGATCAAGTTGCATCTCAAAGGACTCTTGGGAAGTCGCTTGGACTAGCTCGACCGGCAGCGAATTCCAGCATCTAACAACCCTTCAGGAGTGGGGTTGTGTCTACAGTCTGTTCCCCTATGTTGTGTCTCAACTTTCTGCGTGTTACCCTTTAGATTTGTCTTGAGCCTCAACTTAAGTAGGTGTTTATGAGGATGTCCAGAAGTGTTTATGATACTGTAAGCCATCAGAAGGTCACCTCTAAGACGTCTATACTCTAATGGGTAAAGGTTAACTGAATGGAGGCGCCCTTCATAAGGTTCAAATTTGAGTCCTCGAACTGATTTCGTGGCTCGCCGTTGGATACGCTCCAGGGTGTCTTTATCCTTTTGGAATGATTTGGAATGTTTCCGTACTCTAAATGGGGACGGATAAAACTATTGAAGATTATATGGAAAGTTCTTCCGTCAAACTGGCCAAAAATGCGTTTCAATGTTACCAGTGAAAGGTTTGCTCGGAAGGTATTTTTGTCACAGCGTAAAACTTTAAATCGTAGGGCACCAGGACTCCTAAATCTTTTTCGACTTGGGATACTACTAGAGAGGAGGTACCTAAGTTCTAACTGCAGTCTGCGACATGTCGCGAATGGACTACTTTACACTTTGAAGTGTTAAAGGTAAGTCCGTTATCGTCTGCCCAACTTTGAAGTCGAGTCAGATCCTCCTGAAGTGCCTGCATATCGTCTTGGTTGCGTATCTCTCTTCAAAGTTTCACGTCGTCGGCAAAAAGTAATAATGCTGACGTTACCTGTTGAGGAAGATCATTTATATGAACCAAGAAGAGAAGAGGTCCTGGTACTGAGTTCTGGGGGACCCTTGTATGACATTCCATAGCCTGGGATAAGGTGAAATTAACCCTGACCTGAAAATGTCGATTTTCAAGTATGAAGTAAGCCAATCGATTAGAGGTGGTCTGATACCCAATCGTTTGAGCTTATTGATAAGACACATATGGTTAACCTTATCAAAAGCTTTTGAGAAATCTAGGTAGATGATATCAACCTTCCCCTCGTGATCGAGGATGCTTGTCCATCTGTCCACCTCAGTTAACAGGTTGGTAATACAAGAGTAACCCTTCCTGAAACCATGCCGTTGAGGTGAGAAGAAATTTAAGGACAGTAATAAGCCATATATACCATCGCATATCAAGGACTCCATGATTTTTGAGGGTATGGAGAGAAGAGCTACCGGTCGGTAACTTGAAGGTTCGTTGAGTCGACCTCCTTTGAAAATTGGTGTGATGTGAGCTAGCCTCAAAGTTTCCGGTAGTTTTCCTCGACTTAGCGAGTGTGAGAACGGCACGCTAAGCGGCAATGACAGGATTGAGGCTGCTTCCCTCAGTATGGCGGAATGTGTATTGGCATTGGACAATAGCCACACAATCCACAAAGCTGTGAACACGAGACTACTCAGAAAATAGATATTCAATATTTAACTCGGGGAAATACTTAACAATGGAGAAGGCGCGGAGAATGAGTTGAATCTACTGGGGTTGATCGAACGGCATGGCTCGGCCATGCAGGCGTCGTCCCTGCTGAATGTTATCTTATATCTTCTATTCATATTAAATATATTGTTCTTTCTCTTGCCTAACCTCGTTCTACACCATGTATTGGTAATTGATACGATACAGTGAGTTGGCGTAGTCGATGGTGTGAATTCCACGTAAGATCTTATAGATTAGGCAGTTATATCATGACAAATCTACAAATTGAGGATTAGGTCTATTATTAGAGCAGCCATTATATCATAGTAGACCATATTTCTACATTGGTGAGCCTACAATTTAGAATTAATACTATTATTAGAGCAGCACTAATATCATAGTAGACCATAATTCTACATTGGTGAGCCCAACTAAAGAAACCCCACCTATTATTGTTAATCCTTATTACCACCTTAACCTTCTCAATCGGTTTTTATTTTTGTAAACCCAGTATTCTAATAGTCCTTTGATTAATGGTCACATATATTATCGTAATGTTATATCTATTAGTTCACATAACTTACTAGCTCAATCGATAATAAAAGTTGATCATCTATATCAACTAATTAGCTTTGATGGTTCGTTAACAAGCTTTAATAGCATTAACCTGCTTCAGCGACATAGACTTGTTTAAACATCAAGCTCTAGCAAATATGACCTGTTAATAGCGCAAATATACATTGACTAACAATGTAATCAAGGACTAAATAGTTATCTGGATCTAATTACCAGTGTTCCTTCACCTAACACCTCATCCTGTTTTAAACTATGCACTATCCTGTAATATCTTTTCTTCTGACCACTGTCTGCCTAATTTCATATTTTCGAGTTCCATTGCCAAACACCAAGGATGACACTTCTCCAAAAACATACGGTGAGTTTCATCTATAGGTTTTCTGCAATCATAAGGTCATTATAGATGGCTCGTTCAATAACAACCACACAATTAACTGAATTCATTCGATTGTTCTAATCCGAGCGAGCGGTAGAAACGTCAACAGCATCAAGGACTCTGGAATTAATTGCCATACTGCATGTTTTATTCTGGATACTTCTGGATCATTACTACTCCTCACGAATGGCGTTATATATGTCGTCCACTGAATAATATAATTTTCAAAAATAACCCAGGCGAGTTCAACTGTTTTACTTAATGATTTTTTTTACTTAACATGTATACGTTTTCCGGTTCCTTTTCCCATATATTTGTAAGTGTCCCTAGGCTAAATGCAGTAACTTCTTATGGAATGTTTATAACGCATCATATTCCTGCCTGACGTTTCACAAGCAGTCTAAACTTTAAAATTATTTTCTGGTCATGTTCATTATTTTTAAATCGTCATATACGTCAACAACCTGCATGTTAACCTGGCCCATACATACGTTACACTATATCTCCATTTCTTCTAAATTTAGAAATCATCTGGATCGCCTTTAATATTTATCAATAAACCCATCATAGTCGTTGTTGCTAATCGTATTTGGGTTTATGGATTGGTTTATCACATTAGCAGCCTAAAATACGAACATAGTTTAGATAATAAGATTAAAAATTTAGATATTATCAACTGCACTAGTAAAATAACTAAATCCCCAGGTAGCTGTTAGCTAAACAAACGTTTCAAATCAAAACTCCGTAGCCTACTAGAATTAACACCAAACGAATATTTCTGAATTGAAATTTATAATTAAATTAGGCGTCTCGGATTCTTTAACGTTATAAATTTCTGATGATTTTGAATCACCTAAAGCAACAATACCTATTTTTCCACTGACTAATCCTTAATCAACACTATAACTAGTTAAATTTAATAGTTTCAGGATATCGTCATAAAGCATTGTCATAACTTGACAATCACGTAATATGACTGATAAAATTAATAAAACTATTAACGAAATCGGTCAACAAATTGACTTATAATTACCATTAAATGGTGTTGTTTTCTTGGTATCTTCATCCATCACAGATGATTACAGTATGTTTCTCTATCAGTTCCTCATTCAGTAAATATCTCAAAACCTTGTCAGTCTAATTGATGGTTTAGCGACACAATCATGCATGCAAATAATCAGTATAAGCAGTCGAGCAAATCTCCTGCAAACTGAAAACATCAATGTCGAATTTACCCCAACACTGACTAAGGTTCAAGCCATTATCATAGACATGAGTTGGGAGTGTACTCCCCTTAGTTACAACTTATGTTCTCCCTGATAATCACATGAGCATCACTCACTATTAATCATCTTGCAAAAACTTATTTAGCTAAATACATCTTGCAGCACCACATCACTTCGTAATATGACACAGGCCTAACTGATTTTATAACTTATAACCACTATATCTCAATTAAATCGTATTATGCCTTATGATAAACTGCATACTTGCAACTAACTTGTATGCCCAATCAGCCGGCAAGTATAAATATAAATAAATAGTCTGCCACAGATCAGAACATTGAGTCTAGAGCATGTCTCTTACGAATACACTCATGTTTAACGATTTGTTCCTAGCTATCTGTCCAAAATTCATATAATCATCACTTACGTATTTAAATTTTGTTTTGATAAACATTCATGTGTATTAGTAGTATTACTAAATTCTATCACGGTCAAGTAAAAATGAAGTTGAGAAAATCTCTCCGTAACTAAATAGACCGTATCAAACTGACTGGAACACTAGTTGGAATTCTCCACGGTATACTTTTGTTCCTTCAGTTAGCCTACTAATACAAATGCAATTGGAATTCAACTCATGTGGACAACTTACCGGCATAATCATTATTTGATTTCATAATTTACACCAAAACTAATACCAATATTAACATTTCTACAATATTCATTACTTTAATATTTCTAAACACAAAATAATTACTGCCTATAAGTTAAGTTATTAACACGCATCGTTTTATTATTATTATTGTAATCGTATTTTTTATAGTTCAAATAATCTTCAACCAAATTTTCATTTTAAGCGTGTTAATCATGAAAGCAGATATTTTAAGATTATTACATGTATTTCCCGACCAGATGCTGCCGTCTTTTTGATTTATCTTTCAGCTTATCAATACCCGGAGGATACTTATTATCCTTGGTAACCTCCG